CTGATTTTTTTTCTTTGTTCGGCTTATAAAACGTGCGCATATTATTTCCAGATACAAAATATTTTAAAATTGTAAGAATTTTTTGAAGATAATAATAACTTCCTAATACAAGTTCTACTAATTAACCCATATCTTGGGGTGGGGAGAAGAAGTGGACTCATACCTTTCTCAGGGTATTTGCGCATAAGTAAAAATAACGAGCCCGACTGGAAGTGGAACACGTCTCTCCGATTTCCAAATCCGAGCCATTATCCATTGCACAATCCACACATCCAAGATTACAGCATGTACAACCGTTTTCTCAGATGATTAAAAATTACTTCAAGCGAATATGCTCTGTAGGAATACAGAAGGTGATTATCTCCCTTTGGTGGAGATAAATCACATGGGTCACGTGATGGCCGCTTATTGACGTCACTTTATACAGTGACAAGAGTGACAAGTCATTCAGTTATTTTTTATAGCAGCCAAACCAAGCGGTTGCTTTTTAGCCCGGGCCAAGGCTAAGGCGAAATCAACCTCCTCAGGCAACTTGCAAGAACAGGGCACCATTTCTCTTTGGGATTACATAGAAAGAACCTCCGGCTCGCAGTCACCAATTTGGGAAAACCCAAGACTCGCCGTTTACCTTTCGTGGAATATATTCTCGCCTAGGACATAGTAGATGAATCCGACCCGCTTGAATGTGGAGTCTTAAACATGTCTTCTCCAGAAGCACAGAAAAATCTCCATATTATATGTAAGACACTATCTTTTCGTTCGCCGTAGATTCTGTTTTACTGCGTAGATATGATATATTATTCTCTGCGTGTGAGATGTTTATATATGTGTATATAGTTTTATGTATGTCTTAGTGGTATAAAAGTCTCTCTGAAAACAAAGTTTGTTAGTCATTATTTTTCTTTTCAGCCATTCACTTCCGTCTGTGAAATACTGTGTCTTTATATCATAGATATAATAATGCCCATAATGGGGAAAATAAAAAAAGGAGGATAAACCATTCTTCCATTTCTCTCTTCTGTTATATGCTCAATGGTACAATGGTCGAATGTTCATAAAACGCAGTGAGTGAGTAGGGCCGAAGAGTGAGTCCGAGGGGCGTTTGAATTGATCTCATGAGCTTCAGAAGACTGGCCAATCAGAACTTTCATAGACCTACCTGAGAGAAAGAACATGATATTTGCATAAACTTTTTAAGAAATGCCATAGCTACGGCAAAACCAAACGCTACACGTTGTGAAATGCTTTGAAAGGGCACTCGGGGGCCCCTCTAGCCTTAGGACCGCTGGCCTGCAGTTCATACTAGCTCATATGTAAATCCGGCACCACGCACACGCACATACACACACACACTTATATATGTGTGTTTGTGTGTGTGCATGTGTGTATATATATATATATATATATATATATATATATATATATATATATATATATATATATATATATATATATATATCTATATATATGACTGCTACTGCTGATGCAAAGGTCTTCTATGAATTGAGCACTCTCTCATTATTATCTATATTTTAATTTGAGATTAATAAATTTATTTTATATTTTTTAAATAACAGGTTTTGAATTTAACTGTTTTCTTTTAATATTTAAAAAATTCCCTAGTCATGTATGACTTGGGAATAGCAATTTTCCAAGCGTAGCTCGGATGTGGCACAAGGCCGAAAGTATGGGGCACCCAGTGAGGATCGAACTCACTCGTAATTGTTCTAGCGAGACAAGCTTGCTAACAATTACAGCACCTCGAGGTGCCCCTGACTTGGGAATATATATATATATATATATATATATATATATATATATATATTAAGAAATGGACAAAGTCTGACAATTTATTTATTAAAGACATTTTTATGTTTAATGTTCTTTTTTTATAGATACAAGTATTTAAGTAAATGCTCTGTTTATAATAAACAGTATTAAATAACATTTACCGGCCTGAATGTCCGAGAAACTTTCATAGAAAATATTCGTCCCTTGACAGGATTCGAACCTGCATGCTATACGGAACCGTCATTTACGCTGACGTGCCTAACCTCTCAGCCACAAAGGAGCGTTCGGTAGGCAAGGTCGAATTTACGTCAGCGAGAGATTGCGTGGGAAGCTAAGGAAGGTAAAGAAGACTATTTTTCATGTTGAAGAATGGGACGAAGTCCTTGTTCGGTGTTCTGAAACTGATGATCCTTACATCTACCGTGATAAGGTTCCCCCGTTTAAGCCGGGATGCCAGGAGCTCTGACTGTACAAATTATGAGCAAGGTAATTCATGTCTTCCTATGTGATCCTGTGGTGCTCACTGCCACTTGCTTCCGACTAAACAGAGAAACTATCTTCAAAAGAGAACGACTTGGCAGAATGAAGACGATTGCTTTATATGATGAAGGAAGAAAACCTTTACATGCTGGGGTGCAGGGGCAGAGGTTTAATTTGAGTGGGAGGGCACAGGCTTCATAGCTGAGGGGAGGTTGAGAATTTTTTTATTTTTATTTTTATTTTTTTTTAGAAGACGCATTGAAAGCCAGTTGTATTAGGTTGGTGCAAAAATAATGACGTAATAATGTCGTTTTTTGATGTATTTTTTAACGTCAAAAAACGACATTATTAAGTCATTATTTTTGAAATAACAATCATCTTCATGACTCTGTGACTCTCTCCAGACAATCGGGACAGAAAAGTTGAAATCTGCTTTCTTGCTATGAAACCATTCAGTTAATCCATTGTAACAGGGTTTACAACAGATATCTGGGACCCAGAATTTGTCCTGATTTTCAAAATGAAAATAAGTATTAGGTTGGTGCAAAAATAATGACGTAATAATGTCGTTTTTTGATGTATTTTTTAACGCCAAAAAACGACATTATTAAGTCATTATTTTTGCACCAACCTAATAGTTCTAAGGAGGGGAGTAAGTTTTTCGCTGCTGTGCAACTGTCGTGAATCACTAAATTTGTCCTGTCGACGCCATCATCGGTGTTTTGAAGAGACTGAAGCCGTTGTAGAAATATGTATTAGCTCACAAAAGTCTAAAAAAAACAAAATGAACTTCGAACATATATATATGGATACCTCAATACGTACAGGGCATTCGAATCTGAAGAAGATTTTATTTCGCCATAATGAAACTTAGCCTGCATGCCGAATGTAAGCTGCCAAGGGTAAGATTTTTTTTTAGTACACAATTCCTAATATTTCGAATTTAAAAAAAAAATAAACACAATTTTCTAAATAGGCCATCTGTGGCAAACTTGAATGCATGTACATGTATACATTTATGAACATTTATATCTGAAAACTAGAGGTGATTAAGGAAAACGAATTTCGCATTTTAAATCAGCTTCCACAAATTAAGTTAGAAGAATTATTGGGTTGGTGCATAATTATCAGGCGTTTTGGTAGGCGAGTTATTTGTTAATAGATTGCTGTTTTCTTTACTTTTACTTCCAAGCAAATGGGAAGCAGTTATTGAAGTAGATGGTGACTACGCTCCGGAATAATCATTTTAAAATGTTATTGTTGAATTATTATGTTTCTTTTTTCATAATAATTATTGTTTAAACAAACGCCTGATAATTATGCATCAACCCAATATTTTACGCTTGCCTCAATTTCTTTGCAAACTAGTGTTATTCTGATTACATTTACTCGTGTTTATGTGTGTAATCGTAGTTTGTTGAAACAATTTAAGTAGTAAATAATAGACAAATTAACAAACTACAAATGACATAAACACAAAAAAATGTAATAATAATAAACATATAATTATAAACACAAAAATAAAATAATATTCAACAACGAATAATTAACTAATCAATAATAAAGAAGGAGTAAAAACTAACAAGAAAAACTCCAAAATAGCTACAAGCGCATTCGGGTCCGCAATTATTCCTACTGATTCAGTAGTCTTTAATAAAAACTTATATAAAAGAGGGATTGATGCCCATATACACAATTATATGGCCTGACGATTGCGTTTAGCATGAAACAGACTGCCGCCTCTGGGTGTTCACCTTAATGTCCAATTTTATATTTACATACGCTTATATTGAGCACTTTAACCCATCAATATAGCATAGCTTAAAACTCTCTCTCTCTCTCTCTCTCTCTCTCTCTCTCTCTATATATATATATATATATATATATATATATATTTGGTTGGATAGATGTGAGTTTGTGACCCTGGGTTTCACGCTTTAGCGATCGTCAGACAAACTCCGCATATAATATATAAATAATTATACATATATATATTTATTTATATTTATATACACTTTTCACACACACACATATATATATATATATATATATATATATATATATATACACGTTTCATCTGATAAGTTTAATAACATTATCGTTGAACGATTGCGTCTAGCATGAAACAGCTTCTAAGTGTTGACTTCAATGTTCACTTTGATATTTACACACGCTCTATCTCTGATATTGGGCACTTTATCCCATAAATATAGCACATCTTGAGACTATATTTCTTCATATATATATATATATATATATGTGTGTGTGTGTGTGTGTATGTGTGTTGTAGCATATATACGGACGATAATGGGTATGTCCCCATTCAAATAAATACAGTAGTAAATACTGTATTTTGGTTTGCAGTTGGAGATTCATCGCCAGATGTGCTGGTTAAACTCTCTGACTGGAAGCAGAGAGAATCCCCAGACGAGGCTATGTCGAAGGGTAGAGTCTGTTCTCGGGAAACATCTATAAGACGGGGTCTACGGGGAATTTTTAGACTCGGATACCCCACGTTAAATTCGGCCGTGTGCTACATCTGACCGCGTGGAGCGGTTGGTAGATATCCTGCAGTTGGAGATTCATTGTGGAATTCACTTGACTCACTTCTAGCAGTTGACTACTTATTCTACGCGCCGCTGGTAAATCTTCTATGTGTTCGTGTCCTAATTATTAACGTTCATTTCCAACCTTCGTTCCATTATTCTATTCAGTAACCTTCCCTAGGT